TGGCTCAACATACAAAAATGAATCAACATAATATACAACCTCTTGAAAACCTCAATAGGAATCGTTCGAAATCCACACTCCCATGGCTGACTAACAAAGCGCTTTTCTAGCTGACTCTTCAGAGGGTAGTTCCCCCTCTGCCACCCGTTCATCACCTGGGGGAGGAACACAGCCGGTTCCCTGCCCAACCTTCATCCCACTCTGCTCCAGCAGGATGCACGGCCTCAACACTCCAGCCACTTCCCCAATGGCATCATATCCAGGCCTGACTAGTGAGTATGCCAAAAATACCTATGAATCATCAGGAATCTGAACAATAAACACACTCCCTGGAATGTACAAGGCAATTATACACAAATGTAATTAAAGGGAATAACTATTAAATAAACCAAGTTAGTGACACACCGCAGCCAAACGGCAGAACAAGGCCTTCCTGGAGCGATTTCCTGATTTGACTGCAGCATGTGTCACGAGGTCTGGGTTATTTAAAAATTTATGATGCTTTTAACACAGATGGGAAAGAACTGGGAAAACGTAACACACCATGCATTGTTCACCCTCGTGGGAACAAGGAGCGCTCTGCTCTCAGTCGGCTGCTGGGGAAAGCCCATCTTCCCTATAGCCACCTTTTCGCCTAAGCTCCCTGCCCTGAAAAACTCGCCGTCACCCCTTCAAAAAGCTCCTCTTGCCGATTTTGTTCTCTTAAATGTGCTTGAGTTTTAGGTTGAATTGTCTGAGGCTTTACGATGACTTGAAAGGAAATGGACATGTCTCCCAGCGTAACTTGCGGCCAGCGCATTGCTATGTCCACCTGCCTCGCTATGAAGCCTCTTTTACATCCTAAGCCCCCGCAGAGGTGTCCATCACTTCCCTCAGTCAAGCACTGAGGCAGCAAAAGGCTAGGCAAATACATTATACAACTATTCCCACAACGGCAACGCTTCCATGGAAAAGCTTTCCACATCTTTTGAGAAGAAAAACACTGATCCCTTCCATTTTTTGTAAAATCAGTCATCTGAAAAGGCAAACAAACCCAGGCCCCAGAAGTTTCAAAAAGAGCAGTATAGACAAGCCAGAGAACCGGGAGGAAGGAATGTTTACGTAGGTGGGGGAGCAGCGCCATCTCCAACCCCTTGGCGAAGTGGGCGGTGGCTTCGTAGAACTCCAGCAGCTTGGTAAGCTCCAGCTCAGGCCCTGCCCTCTCCACTCCGGAGCTGAGGCACATGGGCAGGGAGGGCACCAAGGCCCCCAGGGTCTGGATCAGCAGCACCGTCACCACTTCGTGGGGGTTCTTGAAAACCTGCAGTGGGATAGAGCACACAGAACCGAGGAGGAGTGTACTTTTTTAAAGAAGCTGTCTCCTGGATCCTTCAAAGGAATCTCCCCTGATAGATGTAAGGTAGTCTAGTTTAGAGCTATAATCCCAAAGTTTCCCTCTTTGCAAATGTGAGCATGCTCAGGAAGTAAAGTCCACTGGCAGGACTTGGGACTTGCAACTTCATGTCTATCACCGCCCCCAAGTGCCTAGCTATTTTCAGATCTATCAAATGCTTTCATATAGTGTTTCGATGGTCACCAAAAATTGACTAGAAAGAGGACTGTGAAGATGACAATCGAGAAGTTGCAGGGGGTGTGGCAGGAGGTAGGGAACAAAATAGAAGGAAAGAAGAGCACTTCATTGAATGGGAGCTAGAAGAATCTTTAAGCAGAGTAGCTATCTGGCCTACAGCCATCTCTCCCCTCGACACAGATCTCCAGTCTAGATGGATTTATCTTTTATTCTTAAGGACCACCAGGAATAGTTTATATCTAGACCTGTTTACACTATAGATTCACATATTCACTGGAAGTCTTTTTTTATATTCTATGTACTTTAGATCTCTTGGGCAAAACTTGAATAATGTACAGAGTCCATTTAGATAGGAGTTCTCACAGACCCCCAGTGTTGATTATATATTTTTTATTATAATGTATCTTAAATATGTACAAACATGAAATGAGATATGAGAGCTGTTCCTAGGCAACTCTAAGACCAAAAAAGATAAAATTTAAAACTATAAAACCAATAAGCTGGGTGCGGTGGCTCATGCCTATAATCCCACTTTAAGAGGCTGAGGCAGGATTGCTTGAGGCCAAGAATTTGAGATCATCCCGGACAACATAGAGAAACCTCATCTCTACAAAAAAATTAAAAAAGTAGCAGGGTGTGGTGGTGTGCACCAGTAGTCTCAGCTACTCAGGAGGCTCAGGTGGGAAGATCACTTGAGCCCAGGTGTTTGAGGTTACAGTGAGCTATGATCATGCTACTGCACTAGCCTGGGCAAGAGTGAGACCCTGCCTCAAAAAAAAAAAAAAAAAAAAAAGAAAAGAAAAGAAAACAATGAAAAAACAACAACAACAACTACAAACTGATACAGAATACTTCCTAACTAATTTTGTGAGGCCAGCATTAACATAATACCAAAAGCAGACAAAGACACTGCAAAAAGAGAACTACAAACCAATACTCCTTACGAATACACAAGCAAAAATCTTTAAAAAAATACTACTAAACTGAATTCAACAGCATATTAAAAAAAGTATGCACCATGACCAAGCAGGATTTACCCAGGAACGCAAGGATGGCTCAACATACAAAAATGAATCAACATAATATACCACATTAACAGAATGGAGTGAAAAAAACACATGATCATCTCAATTAATACAGAAAATACACATGATAAAATTCAACACTCTTCATGATAAAAACACTCAACAAACTAGGAATAGAAGAAAACTTCCTCCACATAATAAAGGTCATATATAAAAAATCACAGCTAACATGATACTCAATGGTGACAGACTAAAAGCTTTTTCCCTAATATCAGGAATGAGACAAGGATGCCTGCTTTTGACACTATATTCAACATAGTACTGGAAGTCCTAGCCAGAGCAATTGGAAAAAAAAAAAGAAAGAAAGAAATAAAAGACATCAAAATTGAAAACAGTTATCTCCACTTGCAGATGACATGCTCTTATATGTAGAAGACCCTAAAGAATCCAGAAAATATTGTTAGAGTTAATAAGCAAATTCAGCTAAGTTGGAGGATATGAAATCAACATGCAAAAATAATTTGTTTTTCTATATAATAACAACAAACAATCTGAAAAGGAAATTAAAGAAAACAATTCCATTTACAATAATATCAAAAGGAATAAAATACTTATGAATAAACTTAACCAAGGAGCTGGAAGACTTGTACACTGAAAACTACAAAACACTGCTGAAAGAAATTAAAGAACTAAATAAATGCTAAGACATCCCATGTTCATGAATTGGAAGATTTAAGATTGTTAAGATGGTAATACTACCCAAAGCAATCTACAGAGTCAATGCAGATTGACTATCTAAATCCCAATAATGCCTTTTGGAGAAATAGAAAAACCCATCTAAAAATTCACATGGAATTTCAAGGGATTTCCCCCCCAACACATACAAATAGTCAAAATATCTTGAAAAAGAAGAACAAAGTTGGAGGATTCATACTGCTTGATTTCAAAACTTACTACAAAGCTACAATAATCAAAACATTATGGTACTGGCATAAGGACAGACATATAGACCAATGAAATAGAACAGAGAGACCAGAAGTAAAACCGATACAGCTATGGCCAATTGATTTTTAACAAAGCTACCAAGACTATTTGATGGGAAAAGGACAGTCCACATGCAAAAGAAAGAAGTTGGACCATTACCTTATGCCATATACAAAAATTAACTGAAAATTGATCAAAGACCTAAATGTAACAGCTAAAACTATAAAACTCTTGGAAGAAAATATAGAGGAAAATCCTCGTGATCTTGAATTTGGTAGTGATTTCTTGGATATGACATCAAAAGCATAGGCAACAAAAAATAGATAAATTGGACTACATCAAAATTAAAAACTTTTATGCATCAAAAGACACTATCAAAAATGTAAAATAACCCACGGAATGAGAGAAAACATTCACAAATCATATATCCATATGTTTTGTAGATATTTTCTTCTAGTCTGCGGCTCAAGAAGAGGTTTTGATTTTGAGGAAGCCTAACTTATCCATTTTTTTTCCTTTTCATCGTTACTGCTTTCTGCGTCCTGTGAAACCATCACCAATCTCCAAGTCTTAGAGTCTGTGAACCTTTGTTGTTCTTCAGCCAATGGCCAAAAAATCCCTTTTGTCCGGTGACTTTAAGGAAAGGGAAGAACTCTGAGTGCAAGAGACTGATGTGGTTTGGACATTTGGCCCCTCCAAATCTCATGTTGAAATCTGATCCCCAGTGTTGAATGTGGAGCCTGGTGGGAGGTGTTTGTGTCATGAGGGTGGATCCCTCATGAATGGCCTGGTGCCCTCCCCCTGATAATGAGTGAGTTCTTGCTTTATTAGTTCACGAGATAGCTGGTTGTTTAAATGAGCCTGGAACCACCTCCTCCTCTCTCTTATTCCTTCTCTTGCCATGTGACACGTCTTCTCTCCCTTCACCTTCTGCTTTGATTGGAAGCTCCCTGAAGCCCTCACCAGAAGCAGATGCTGGTGTGGTGCTTCTTGCACAGCCTGCAGAACCATGAACCAAATAAATCTCTCTTCTTTATAAATTACCCAGTGTCAGGCATTCCTTTAGAGCAGCACAAAATGGACTAATACAGGGACCCAGTGTGTTAATTGAAACATGCATTTTTAAAAAGCCACTGGAGGTCTAAGATATGACTTTATACATAGACCAACCAATTAGAACTCTTTGGAATAGAGTCATTTAGTCTAATTCCTCCCCCACACCCCCAAATCATTTAAGTAAGAGACAAGAGCAAAATGGGTATTGCAACTACAAGACCAAACTTATCAATTGGGCTATAAAGTTAACCTAAGTAGCCCAGGAAAAAAGTCTGACCCTACCTTACACTGCATACAAAAATTAATTCAAGACGGACCATAACCTAAATATAAAAGTTAAATAAGTTTCTAGAAGAAAACATGGAAGAATACCGTGGCAACTTGGGGATTGGTGACGGTTTCTTAGGGCACAGAAAGTCATAACCATAAAAGAATAAAAGTAATAAATTAGGCTTCATCAAAATCGAAACTTCTGCTCAAGCCACAAACTGGAAGAAAATAGCTACAAAACATACGTAACAAAGGACTTGTATTGGGAATATATAAAGAACTCCTACAACTCAATAATAAAAAGATAAATAATCCAATTTTTTTAAATGGGCAAAAGACTTGAGTTGACACTTCACAAAGGAATATGTACAAATAGGTGATAAGCACATGAAAAGGTGTCCAATGTCCTTAGTCATCAGGGAAATGCAAATTAAAGTCACAATGAGATACTACTACACACCCACCAGAATGGCTAAAATTAAAAAGAATGACAACACCTAATTTCGGCAAGGATGTGGAGCAATCAGAACTCTCACACATTGCAACTGTGTGGGAGTGGGAAAAGCACAACCACTTTGGAAAAAGGTCTGACAGTTTCTTACATAATAAATCTATATGTACACCTACCCTCTGACCCAGCAATTCCACTCCTAGGTATTCACCCAAGAGATATGAACACATGTGTCTATAAAAAAATTTACTGAACAATTTTCAAAGCTGCTTTATTCATAATAGCTCCAAACTGGAAACAGACCAAATGTCCATCAATAAGAGAAGGTGTAAACAAATTGAGGTATATTTATACCAGGTACTAGTATTCAGCAACAGAAAGGAACAAACTAGTATACATACAACACTATGAGTAAATCTCAAGAACATACTCAATGAAAAAAACCTTACCAAAAGACCACATCTCATATGATTCCACCTATATGAAATTCTAGAACAGGCTAAACTAATTTATGGTGGAAAAAAATCAGTGTTTTTTTTCCAGCAGTGGTTGCCTTCAGGGCTGTTGGTGCAAAGACTGACTGAGGGAACTTTCTAGCATGGTGATAATGTTCTGGATATTGAAAGGGGATTTAGGTTACACAGGTATTTGTATATGTCAGAATAACCAAATGGCATATTTAAGATCATTGTATTTCACAATTTTACCTCAAAAAAAACTGTAAGTAAATTTTGAACTCTAGTTAATATCTGAAGTAAATGATGTTTGCAACTTACTTTGAAATGAATCAAAAAAAATAAGATGGGGCAATGAATAGATAGAGACAAGGACAGAGGCATTTATTTGTGATAAAGCAAATATAGCAAAATGTTCATTGTACAACCTAAAAAGTGGGTACATGGGTATTCACTGTATAATTCTTTCAACATTTTTATATACTGGAAATTTTTTGTATTAAAATAGTTGGGGGAAAATCTGAAGAAGACACATTTACCCTGGCACTTTTGGCCTTCTTTTTCACTATACTGAGCTTTAGGAGATGACAGCCCAGCTATTAATATCATGCTTACATCCTGAAAAGAAAATGAGCCATGGGCCAAAGGTGCAAATTAATATAAACTCATGACTTACAAACTTAGGATGAGGCCCAAATAGAAGTCTGAGAAGTCTTTATCTTAGATGATGAAAGGCATTTGTATATATAGACACGAACTGTTTTTATCCTCATGCTACAAGAAGCAGTAGAAGATACAAAAACACATAAATGATTATATAAAAACTGTGACACTTCTACAGGAGGTTTTCTCCTTTAAAAACAAAAACAAAAAACAAAACAGAAAAACTCAAGTCTGAATTAGGTTAGTTCAAGGAAAAAGAACAAGGATAGAGAAAAGTGCTTTAACCAATTTGAATGACATGACCCTGTACAAGGAATTCTCTCTAACTACACTCAAGTTCATTCCAGCAAACGACTGATGAACATCTGAAGAGTGATTCACGACTAATTGTAACAAAAAAAAAAAATAAGCCCCATCGCAAACAGGCCCAGTAAGCGGTTACTCCAAAGTAAGATAGGCTTTTCCCCTTCTAAAAGAGGATCTACTGCACCTCCTGTCTCAAGACAAGAGAGCCATGGCTTATACCATTTACGGCTGGAAAGCACAGAGACCTTGGGAAAGTAAGTGATGGAAAGTTTCCACTTGAAATAAAGTTCCTCTGTCTTACCTCACTCTTGGGCAGGAGGTGCCTTTAAAATTATCTCTTTCTCTAACTCTTGGTGTAAAGGGAAACTAACTCCAGGTCAGGTAAATTTTACCCGAAGTTAAGATAAAAACAATCTTGTTCACTCCAACACCACCTGACCCGGGGCCTCCTGCTTTTAGATCAGAAGATAATGGCCTTCAGGAATTCCACAGGCTGCCTGGCTGAACAACAGGCAACACTGTCACATTAGATTCCATTTAAGATATAGATAAGAGTGATAAGAAGAGTTTTAGTGGAGACCTAAAGATTTCACTGACGTGGGTTTCTAAGCTTATCTTTTTTTCCCTTTTTAATTTTTTTTGTTTAACCTTAAACCATTTAACTATAATCTAGGCTTATCTTTTAACCCCTCAAGTGACGACAGCATATGGGGCATGCTCGACCATTCCCAAGGCAGTCACCCACTCCCCTGTTACCACAGGCTTTGTTCTCCCTAGAACCCAAAAGAGCTGTTACCTGCGTAGCCCATTGGATTTGTGTGTGCCAAGCACCGAGCAGGGCGTCATAGAGTCCAGTGAGCTGCCGGTCCAGGGGGAGTTCACTCTGGCACAGCTCTTGCCAGGCTGCTAAAAGCTGCACCTGCAGGAGCAGAACAAAGGGGCCCTTAGTGGGCAGCCAAGGTACGCTGCCTGCGAAAACTGCCCTGCCCTCCTAGTAAGACAAACGATTTACAGCTGCTTGTTATCCTGACCACTCACTGATTGCTCAATGGACTCACTGAGCAACCCAGCGAGGTCCATCCAGTTCAAAAAAAGGAAGGAAAGAAAAAACATTTACAGTCACCTGCTCTGATCATCACCCAAAACTTGAATTGTTGCCTTTCAAGTGATCCCCTCTCCTTTTATCCTGCCCGCAAAGCATGCTTCTACTAAGCAACCACCACTCTCCCAAACAAACCTCAGAGTTAGGCATGAGGGTGAGTTTAAGCTTCATGTCCTAACATCACTGCGTGCACTTGAAGGAATTAAGGTTAGCCCAGGAGGCTGAGGTTTTCAGTGCCCTACCTTCTATAAGCCTAGAAAACATAAAATTCTGAGTCAGGCATGGTAGCGCGAGCCTGTAGTTCCAGCCACTCAGGAGGCTGAGGCAGAGAATCCATCGCTTGAGCCCAGGAGTTTGAGACTGCAGTGGGCAATGATCGCACCAGTGAATAGCTACTGTGCTCCAGCCTGGGCAACATAGAGTGACCCCATCTCTAAGAGAAAAAAGTTCTTACGGCTTGTTGAGGGCACAATCAAGTCTAAGACATGAATCTCCCTTAAAAGACAAAAATGGCAATAAATTAAAACAAGTCCATAAGTGAGTCCAGCTGTAAATAAAAAAGAGGATGAAAACTGATGACTCTTTTTCCAACTGGCAATTAAATGAATCCGTATGCTAGACCAAGAGCACCCCCTACAGGCTAACTAAAAGAAAAAAGGCCAAGGGGCAAGGAGACAGTATTTTTACCCTTTGAGTATAACAGATTCTGTGGCCCAGTGTCATGAGCATTCCACCATTGTCACTGCTCACAGTGCCTTACCTTGTGACACTTGTAGTAGTAGGCAAGGAGCTGGGGCATCCGGTCAACTTCAGTAAAAATCTTCACAAACATTTTGGACTGATCTAAAGAACAGAAAATATATATATACTGTTACCAGCCTTTGTGCTGCAGCAAAGAGAAAGAATTCACCAGGATCAGTTTGGAGATATATATATATACACACACACACACACACACACACACACACACACACACATACACACACATATATACACACGTACACACATATATGCTAGTATTCAGGAGTTCCTACCTAGGTAATTAATTAACTCACTCGTAGGAATCATAAATATGAAAATCAGTAGAGTTAAGAGTAGAATACTAGGTGATTTGGTAATCAGACACTGCGAGCTCTAGCTTGTTCATATAATGCATCAATAAGCATCATCAATATAGCAAAGATTATACATCAGCAAAATAACTCTTACATATGAATGGTGAAATGAATTTGATTCAGGGCTGGGATGAGGGAGAGGGAAGCCTGGGGTGTAAATTTGAAGGAGGCTCTCACTCTCAGGGATGTGCAAGGGCAGGGAGAGAGCCTCCTCAAATTTGGTGCCTCTGGCCAGGCGCACTGGCTCAAGCCTGTAATCCTAGCACTTTGAGAGGCTGAGATGGGAGGATTGCTTGAGGCCAGGAATTCAAGACCAGCCTGAGCAAGAGCGATATTCTGTCTCTACAAAATATACAAAAATTAGCCAGGCATTGTGGCACATGCCTGTAGTCCCAGCTACTTGGGAGGCTGAGGCAGGAGGACTGTTATAGCTCAGAAGTTTGACATTGCAGTGAGCTATGATTACACTGCTGCACTCCAGCCAGATCAACAGAGTAAGATCCTATCTCAAAAAAAAAAAAAAAAAACTTGGTGCCTTAAGCCAGCGGTCCCCATCCTTTTTGGTACCAGGGAATGGTTTCATGGCAGATAATTTTTCCATGGACAGGGGGCAGGGGAGAATGGTTTTCAGATGATTCAAGTACTTTACATTTATTGTGCAGTCAAACCTGTCTCCTAATGATAATCTGTATTTGCAGCCACTCCCCAGCACTAGCATCACCATCTCAGCTCCACCTCAGATCATTAGGCATTAGATTCTCATGAGGAGCGTGCAACCTAGATCCTTTGCATATGCAGTTTACAGTAGGGTTCGCACTCCTATGAGAATCTAATGCCACTGCTGATCTGACAGGGGGCGGAGCTTATGTGGTGATGTGAGCGATGGGGAGTGGCTGTAAATACAGGGGAAGCTTCACTAGCTTGCTCGCCCACCACTCACCTCCTGCTCTGTGGCTCAGTTCCTAATAGGCAACACACTGGTACCGGACCTCGGCCCAGGGAGCTGGGGACAGCAGCCTTAAGCACCTCCCCTGCCATACCTAGTCCTGGCCTGATTAGAATCATAAACTGTCAGAGACAGGTATCTAAATTAACTCATCATCCACCGCATCTTACAAGTAAGGAAACTGCTTCCCAGAGAGCTTCAGTTACTTGCAGATCACTGGCAGGACTGCTAAACCATAGTAAAGGTTGAACCATATGAAATTGCTGCTATTCAACCATTCTGACATAAAACAACAATTTCATATGATTCAATCTAATATTTAGATGAACTGAAAAATACTGAGACAAGCAGGCCTTCTGTCAGGTGCCAAGAACAAATCAAGCTCTTCACTCTCTCACCGCCTTTGTGCATTCGATGTCCGGGATGATCTCCTGGTTCCTAATCAGCCAACCTAAATTAGGTTCTTCCTGCTAGTCCTTATCACAACCTCCCCTTCATAGAACTAATCACAATCTATACTTATTTTATTTAGTTACTTACATCCTTGCTTATTATCTTTCTCAATGATAGAATTTTGTGCCTTAAACATAAGTCCCATGAGGGTGATGACCTCTCCTGTCTTGTTTCATTGTTCTTAGAAATTAGCACAACGCACAGTAGGCACTCAAAAAATGTACTAAATTAATGATTGTTTAAAATCATAGCACATGCCCTAACTCTGCAAAAAGAAACTATTTATAATGTTTTGATAATATAAACACTATTTATTTACTCAATTGAAAATAATGGTATAGGAGGAGAATGGGAAGGAAGGTAGGAGTGGTATGAAAGCTAAAGCCTTAGCTATAACAATAGGAAGAATAGATAATACCAAAAATTGATACACAAAGAAATAAAATCATAAATTTATTATGCAGAAATATAAAGTGAAAGGCCAGAAAAAGCAGCTAAGAATTAGAAGTGGTGTCCTCCTGAGGACAGGTCTGGAGAATAAGAAGGTAGGGGATGAGAATGTTATTCTTCCCTATAAGCCCCTCAGTACTATGTAAGTTTTTCAACACCATAGATGATGGGAAAAAAATCTAACTGAATCCAAGAAAAAGAAAATTGAAACCAATTAACTAATTTGTGGGTCTGGACTTCCGATTTGTAGTTTGCTGTTGAGCTGCACAGCTTTTTAGAAATGATGCGGGTCTCTCATCACTTGAGGCCAGGGGTTTGAGACCAACCTAGACAACACAGCAAGACCCCGTCTCTACAAAAAAATTTAAAAGTTAGCCAGGTGTGGTGGTGTGCACCTGTAGTCCCAGCTACTGGGGAAGCTGAGGGCGGGAGGATCACTTGAGCCCGGGAGCTCGAGGCTGCAGTGAGCTATGATTCAGCCAATGCACTCTAGCCTGGGCAAGAGAGTGAGACCCTGTCTCAGAAAATAAGAAGAAGAAATAAATGAAATTAAAATTTAAAAACAGAAATGATAAAGCTCTCATTCAAATATTGGCCTCTTAGGAATGATTCCCTTTGGGCCATTGCAAGAGTTAGAGAAAGAGAAAGGAAGTAATGTTCACTGAACACCTCCTCTGCACCAGGCACTTTGCACCTGTTTACCCCTCCCAAGAGTGGTATAGTGTGTATTACAAACTCATTTTAACTGAGGAGGAAATTGAGGTCTTATTGCTAGTATGTAGCAGCTCAAAGACTTTAAACTAGGTCTTTCCATCTCCTTCCACTCAGCCACACTCCTCAGGAGATTTACTAATAAACTGTTAACAGATATGAAATTATTCCCCAAACAGAAATGCTTTAATCTGTTCAAGGCAAATTATGCTCCGTCCTCAATCTTCCTTCTAGGCCTCATCTCTGACTCTTTTACCAATGTTCACTCTCCTAAAACAGTCCTATTTACTATTCCCAAAACAATGCCTGAGTTTTCCCACTTATCTATCATTCAAATCTATGCTGTTCTCTCTACCCCAATGCATTTCTTCACCTGTCAAAATTACAGGCCCACAGGAAGATGTTCACGCTGTATTACCAACTGGGGGCAAAACAAAAACGATAAAACGGGAAGAAAATACTAATAGGCATCTCTGGGCAGTGAGCTTTCTTATGTTTTTCAAATTTTCATTAACCTGTATGTACTGCTTTTATAATCAGAAACAATCTTCAAATTTTTTTAATTCCTCTATGTTCAAGGTTCTACACATATAAAAGCTGTTTCATAAAGGCTTCTTCAATTTTTCTTTATCCAACGTGGGGAGGCCTAAGGCTGTTTTCACATTCCACCTTGCAACAAAATTATTTGTGTACTTGTTCTCCCCCAGCCTCACCCTCAACAAAGCTGCAGGGTCCTTGAAGGACTGCAATCTCAGCTTCTTCAACTTTGTACTCCCCACTGCTCCTCACGTAGCACATATATTAAACGAATAGTTACAAGTCAGTCATCCCTTTGAAAATTCCTACTTTGGTTATACCAGATGGGAACTATAAGAAAGCAAATGTCCTGAACTCCTGTATGTTCACATATTTGGTGGTTTGAGGAATAAGTAAATAATTTAGTAAATATCAGCATTCCACACATAGCAGTGGACTCTAAGAGCCAAGTTATGGGCTTTAACATCAAGTAGTTTCTTAGCTATTTCCCTAAGCGCGGGAGAAATGACTACACAAAGCACTTGCTTTCAGGCTTACTGCTGAAAAGGCAGGGAGGTGGGTTTCAGTGCAGTCTCTGAACATCACACAGGGCAAGGCCACCTGTGGCTCCCGTCTGCCCCCTTCTGGCCAAAACATAGATGCGACAGCCTTAGAATTAAATTAAAAGGAAAGGAAAAAAACCTGAGCTAACAGGTCTTCAACCTTTTTGTATTTCCTTTGCTGGGAAGGAAAATCGTGACAGCAACCACTGTAGAGAACCCAGCTAAATTTCAGAAACCTGCCAGTGGATCTTGACCTAATGGGCAGCAATCCAGGAGTTAGAAAATGAATATTTGCCTTTAAAATGCTTGTTATTTTCATAAGAACACTTATATAAATGAATCTTTCTGCTACATTTAAAGTTATTCTACATAGTGACTCAAGCCTCTAATCCTACCACTCTGGGAGGCCGAGGCGGGAGGATGGCTTGAGGTCAGGAGTTCAAGACCAGCCTGAGCGAGAGTGAGATCCCATGTCTACTAAAAATAGAAAAATTAGCCAGGCATGGTGGCACAAGCCTGTAGTCCCATCTACTTGGGAGGCTGAGGCAGGATTGCTTGAGCCTAGGAGTTTGAGGTTGCAGTGAACTATGATGATGCCACTGCACTCTAGCCCAGGCAACAGAGTGAAACCCTATCTCAAAAAATAAAAGAAAAATCATTATTGAACTCTAGTGAGTGATATGAATGCCAAAGTGTTTAGGATTGAAGTGTACTAATGTCTGCAACTTACCTTGAAGTGCATCAGAAAAAATAAGATGGATCGATGGATGGATAGAGGAATGGCTATGTGATAAAGCAAATGTGGCAAAACGCTAATGCTAGAATCTAGATGGTATGTCCACTATACTCATTTCAACTTTTCTGTATGGTTGAAAATTTCATATGAAAATGTTGAAAACACATAAGCATCATAAAGTTACAGGCTTACTTCTAATCTACATAATTTAATCACCATTAACACATCCTAAAGACTGAAGACTCGGGAGGCCTTATCTTCACAGAGAGGTATACACACAGAGAAGAGAAACAGCCAGCACTCACCTATATCCTCAGAGGAGAATGCTGCTATGATCTGGGGACTGGCCAGGGCCTCCAGCCTGTTCTTCAATGCCTCTAAGTGCACACACTTTTCTGAGTAGTCTGGTGTATCAACAAGCATCGTTAAGCTGTTCTGCATACCTGTTAGCTTGGCAGAAATCACAGCTATGTCCTAGAAAAGACCAGAATACAGGATATTTATTTTAAAAGATCCCTGCTACCTCAATTACAAAGGAATAAAATATTATACTTTAATACATGAAAAGGCAACTTATAAAATAAGTTATTGTGTATTTTACCACAATGAAAAAATAATTGTGCCAGGCATGGTAGCTATTCCCTGTAATCCCAGCACTTTTGGAGGCCAAGGTGGGAGGATGGCTTTAGCCTAGGAGTTTGAGACCAGCCGGGGCAACACAGCGAGACTCCATCTCTACAAAAAATTAAAAATAAATTTAAAAAGTAGCCAGGCATGGAGGCACACATATGTAGTCCTAGCTACTTGAAAGACTAAAATGGGAGGATGGCTTGAACCCTGGAGTTGGAAGATATAGTGAGCTATGATAGCATCACTATACTCCAGCCTGGGTGACAGAGTGATACCCTGTCTCTAAAAAAAATTGATTAATTTTAAAAAACAAAAAGAAATAGAATTTTTAACAAGATATCATCTTATTTCATCCTTACAACTAGGTATCAAAAGTATTACTATTTTCCACACTTTGCAGGCCCAGAGGGGTTAAATAACATGCCAACATTCTACAGTGTGTAAGGCCTTTCTACTCATGTTCAGTGCTGTCATTACCTCCCATCTTCTCTGTCTGTGCATTTTTACTGGGGCTTCTCCTGAACTTACTCACTGTGACTAAGAGCTTCAGTAAGGCAGAGGGTGCAAACTAAAGAGCGTGGAAATCCTCAGAACAGTTTTGGACCTTCCCCACTCTAAGTCTGAATGTTTCTGTATGCTGTTCTCGACCGTCCCTTATGGTTTTCATGAATGGCTCCCATTTGCTTTCCCCAAACCTTAAGCTCCTACCTAAAGACATTTCACAACATCCCCTAAATAAGAAACCTACCTGAGTCTTAAATGTCTCTTCAATATCAGCACTTAACGTGCTCCACTTATCTGCTTCTTGAAGAGATTCAGCAGCAAGCTGCATCCTGGACTTCACTTGGTCAATTTCCACCAACACCTGAAAAAGAAAGGAGGGGTAAAAAATGAAGTGGTAGGTCCTTTTCCTCCACCTTCCACCGGTGACTTGAAACATAAGTATTGTGGCATGCTCCTGCCTTTGGGGAACTTCTGTACCCTAAAACACCAATCACCTGGCTAATTTTGTCCAGCAGGTGCTGAAGAGATGAATTAGCTGAAAGACTCAAGCAAAAGAGCAGTCTGAATACAATTTTGCATTAAGGTTGGCTTCCCACAATGTTGTGCTGTTCTAAACCCCTAATGAGAGTATACGCCTTCCAAAGACAAGAATCAACATTTAGGACAGGAGCCAAAATACCTGCATCGATTGAGATGTGTCCTGTTCAAATTTTTTAATGTCCTCCTTGACAAGAATCATTTGTTCTTTCAGAAAAGATGCCTCCTGTTTCAGGGCTTCGACATCACGGAGCACTTTGGGCATGTTCTGAAGAGCTTGGAGACTTGTTTCTGTACCAAAAAAAAAAAAAATCAAGAACAGCAATATGCACAAAAGGTGAAAAGAGGACCAGTCACCAGTGAAAAATATGAAACGAATCAGACAACAGAAAGGAAGTTTTCCCTAACACATTAGCAACCACACAGTTTTTGGAGCCTGCAGAAGATGTGGGACAGAAGAGGAGATGGGCAGCGAGGGACCTTTGCCAGGACCATGTCCTCCCCGGACTGATGGGTGAGGGCTGTGTGATTTAAAATGGAATGAACCACAGGGCACAGTGGCGCACGCCTGTAATCCCGGCTACTCAGGAGGCAGAGATGGGAAGATTGCTTGAGCCCAGAAGTTATAGGCTGTAGTATGCTGTGCCAATCAGGTGTCCTTATTAAGTTCTGCATCAACATGGTAACCTCCCAGGAGTGGGAGACCACCAGATTGCCTTAGGAGGGGTGAGCCGGCCCAGGTTGGAAATCGAGCAGGCACCCTGTGCCTGCAGGATGGTGCCTGTGAATAGCCACAGCACTCCAACCTGGGCAACAAAGCAAGACCTTGCTTTTTATATTAAATTAATTTTGAAGAGACCTTCTCACTCTGTCGCCCGAGGTGGAGTGCAGTGGAGGGAGCATAGCACACTACAGCCTCAAACTCCTTGGCTCAGGAGATCCTCCTGCCTCAGCCTCCCAAGTAGCTGGGACCACAGGCATGTGCCACCATGCCCAGATAATTTTTTTCAGTTTTTTAGAGACAGGGTCTCACTATGTAGCCGAGGCTGGTCTTGAATTCCTGGGTTCAAGCGATCCTCCTGCCTCAGTCTCCCAAGTTACTGTGATTATGGGCATGAGCCATCACACCATAATTCATTTTTTTAAAAAATCAGGAGTGAACCATCGACCTGACTTAACACCAATTCTTTGCCACCAGTAAGTGAAATCTTAACTTTTTTTGCAAGGAAGAATGAAGAAATCTGGCACTGGGTGATTGCTAGTTATGCAACAGGGGCTTTACATACATTTTGTCACTGTCCATGGCAACATTAGCAGCCTCCTCTATTGATAAGAAAACTGAGGCTCAGAGAAGTGAAGTAACTTGCCCAAGATTTTACAGAACCAAAACCAAGCTTTACATGTGTCTGGCCCCAAAGCCTGCTTTCCATGGTCTTTTTTCTTTTCCCCCTGTTTCCATATTCTTTTATTTTGTTGGGCCTTTTCTGGGTTGTATTTCTGCTAATTCCAAAACTTTTAGGAATATGCTTGATTATCCTTATGACTGGGGAGGCAGAGGAAGAGAGGATCTCTTGAGACTGGGAGTTTCAACTTAGTGAGCTGTGATCACGCCACTGCACTTCACCCTGGGCGACAGACGGGCTACAGACCCTGTCTCCTAAATAAATAAAATAAAAAGGTAAAGTCGAGGAGTTATACGAAATGGTTGCTAGTGCAAACTATTTTTTATAAATAACTATCCTCAAAAATTGGTTTGTGTCCATTCAATCCAGCCTATCTTCCTCAGCGGACATGAAGATGTACTAAAACAATGTTTCCCAGATTTGTGTCATTCCCATACACCTATACTGTAATAGGTTTTTGCCCGATATAAGGATCAGTTGGCTATTATGTAATACTCTTAAAATTCACTCTTTTCACTTAAGTTTTAAAAGGAAACTTTATAGCACCGTCAGAGTTGGAAAATTAACACATCCAAAATTTCCAAGTGTCAAAGACCGCGAGCACCCAGCTGAGACTTCCTCGGTGATGTAATCAGGACTTCAGGCTCACTTTCTCACCAAGTGAGGCACGGATGTTTACCGCCCAATACGTGCACCACCCGGTTGTCCCATGCCCAGTTCGGGGACCTCTGCCCAGCCGAGCGCAGGGGAGGGCCCCTGGCCAGAACCCCGCACGGCTCACCCTCCACGGCGTGGTTCACTTCTTGGATGAACAGCTGCAGCTTCATCACCAGGGTGGCTGCGTGGCCGTCCGCCTTCCCCGCCGCCGCCTCCTTCGGGCCAGCCCTGAAGGCCGCATTGATCCACTCCTTCACGTCGAAGTCCTCGGCCAGGAACTTGGAAAAGTCCATGGCGGCACGGCCGCAGGCCTGGAGTTCAGGCCTTAATAGCTGGCTCCGGGTGACAACGAGGAGGCAGAAGAGGGAGACCCTGCGAGAGCACCGGGGCTAGCCTCCGATGCAACACCCCGGAACTTCCAGGACGGGTAACTTGCTCCTCTGTAGCTTCTCTGTCAGCTCGCTCAGGCTGCGGCTGGGACTGACCCCGGCCGCACGCCGTACTTCTTCCGGAAGTAGGTGGCCGTTACCATAGAGTCTGCCGGCGTTCCGGGCGCCTGAGTGCGCTGGGTGTAAGAGAAACGCCCCGGTGCTGATCGCTCAGGGCAGGTACAAACATCCCACTTCTGCTAAAAATTCTCTGAGCAAGAAACGATAAGGGCTTTACGATAAAGTTCTTATATATATTAGCGCCTTTAATCTTCACAGTCTTTTGAATACTATTATTCTCCCCAACGTATAGATGCGGAACTGAGGCAGTTAAGCAACTGGTTCAGTCATGTAGCTAGAAAGTGGCACTGTTAGGATTTGAACTCAGACAAACAGGCCACTGGAACCTTCGCTCTTTTCTACTCTCCTGAAGGGAGCGAGTGAAACCTCCATGATGTGACCTCTGCCCACCACTCTTCCCATATCGCTTTAGCCACTTTGGCCCCCTATCCTTTCCTAAAACCCTACGCTGGAACCCACCAGTCTTTGCACTTACTTGTTTCTTCTAGCCTAAAACAAACAGTGTGATGCACATTCTCACACATATCTTTGTGCGGACACGTGTTTTCATTTCTTGTGGATAGATTCTTTGGAGTGAAACTGCTAGTTTGTAAGGTAAATTTATGTTTAACTGTTTAAGAGACTGCCAAACTTTTCCAGAGTGCCTGTACCGTTTTATATTACCATCAACAATGAATGAGGGTTGCAGTTTCTCTATAGTCTCCCGAATATTTGGTATGTAGTCAGTGGTAAGTCATTGTTGCTTTAATTTGCATTTCCCTAATGACCAATGATGTTGAACATCTCATGTGTTTGCCAGCTGTTCTTATAGTTCTTTTACCTTCTTGGTAAAATGTCTATTCAAATCTTTTGCCCATTTTCAAATGGGATTGTCTTCATATTATCGGGTTATCACGGTTCTTTACATATTCTGGGTATAACTCTTTTGTTAGAGATACGGTTTGCAAATATTTTCTTTCAGTAGCTTATCTTTTTGTTTTCTTAATTATGTCTTTTGAGGTACAAAAATTTTAAATTTTAATAAAGTTCATTATCACCTTTTTTATGGATCATGCTTTTGGTGTTGTATCTAAGAAATCTTTGCCTAACCTAAAATCATGAAGAATTTCTCCTGAATTTTCTTCTAGAAATTTTAAAGTTTTGGCTCTTGCATTTAGGTCTGTGATCCATTTTGAGTTCAATTTTTGTGTATGGTACAAGGTAAAGGTCTAAGGTTTGTTTGGGTGGTTTGGTTTTTTTTGCATGCAGGTATACAGTTATCTCAGAATCATTTATTGGAGAGACTGTCCTTTCTCCACTGAATTGCTTTTACATCTTTGTCAAAAATCAACTGACATAAATGTAAGGGTTTCTGGACTCTTCATTCTGTTTCATTATCTATATGCCTGTCCTCGTACCAATGGCAAACTGTCTTGATTACTCTAGTTTATAAGAAGTCTAATCCTTCTGGAATTTTGATGGGGATTATATTGAATTTAGGCCAGGGAAGGTGGCTCATGCATAATTCCAGCACTTTGGGAGACTGAGGCAGATGGCTTGAGCCCAGGAGTTTGAGGTTGCAGTGAGCTACGATAACACCACTGCACTCTAGCCTAGGTGACAGAGCAAGACTCTGTCTCAAAAAAAAAAAAAAAAAAAAAGATTATATTGAATTTATAGATCAATTTGAGGAGAATTGTCATTTTGACAATATTGAGTTTTCCAATCCATAACATGAAATGCCTCTTCATTTATTTAAATCGGGATTTTTCAGCCTTGGCACTATTTATTTGTATAAATTTAAGGGGTACAAGTGCAGTTTTGTTACATGGATACATTGCATAGTGGTGAAGTCTGGACTTTTAGTGTATCCATCACCCAAATAATGTATATATACTCATTAAGTAATTTCTCATAATCCACTCCCCATTCACCCCCTCTCCTTGGCACTATTGACATTGGGATTTTTCATCCCTGGCACTACTGGGGCCAGATAATTCTTTGTTATGGGGGCTGTCCTATTCGTTGTAAGATGTTTAGCAGCATCCCTGACCTGTACCCGCTAGGTGCCAGTAGCATCCCCCTCTCCAAGGGTGACAATCAAAAATATCTCCACACATTTTCAAGTGTCCCCTAGTGCTGTGGTCCCCAACCCCGGGGCGGCGGACCGGTGTAGGTCCGTGGCCTGTTGCTTCCCGCTGCGCAGCGGGAGGTGGTGGGCGGCGGGCTGGTGGGCAAGCGAGGCTTCATCTGTACTGCTGTCCCTCCTCATCGCTTGCATCATCGCGTGGGCTCCGCCTCCTGTCATATCAGCGGAGGACATTAGATTCTCATAGTAGCGCCAACCCTACCGTGGACTGCACATGCAAGGGATCTAGGTTGCCCGCTCCTTGTCAGAGTCTAGTGCCCGATGATCTGCGGCGTAGCGGTGGTGCTCGCGCTGGGGAGCGGCTGCAAGTGCAGATTGTCATTGGCAGAGTTTTGATTGCACAATGATGTGGTGCACTTGGGTCATCCTGGGACCATTCCCACCACCAGCACCCCGTCTGTGGAAGGATTGTCTTCCATGAAGCCAGTCCCTGGTGCCAAAAAGGTTGGGGACTGCTGCCCCATTGGGAACAATCACCCCTGGTTGAAAACCTGATTTAGATCTTTAATTTCTCTCAGCAACATTTTGTAGTGTTCGTTGAACAAATCTTGCACTTTTGTTAAATTTATTCCTAAGTATTGCATTCTTTTTAATGCCATTGTGAACGGAATTTTCAATTTAATTTTCATATTGTTTGTTATAGGAAAACAATTGACTTTTATATATTTATCTTATACCCTTTGACCTTGTAAAATTTATTAGTTCGTGTACGCATGTGTGTTCCCTGGGATTTATTAATATTTACATACAGAATCACACCATCTGTGACTACACTTTTCCTTTTTCATTTCCAATTTGGATGCTTTCCTTTCCCCTACTATTAATTGCACTGGTTAGAATCTTCAGTACAATGTTGAATAGAAGTGGCAAAAGCAGACATCCTTGCTTTGTTCCAGATCATACGCATCTGTCATTAGCATTCAGTCTTTAACAATTAAGTATGATGCTAGTTGTAGGTTTTCCATAGATGCTCTTTTTCAAGTTAAGGATGTCCCCCCCCTTCTATTCCTAGTTTGTTGAGAGTTTGTTAGAATGTCGGATATTGTAAATGTTTTTTTCTCTTCCTACTGAGATAATCATGTGGGTTTTGCCCTTTATTCTATTCATATGATAAAGTAATTGATTTTAAGATGGTAAACTAATCTTGCACTCCTGGGATAAATTCTACTTGGCCAAGGCATATAATGAGTTTTCTTTGCTTTTTTCATTCTTTTCCTCTTTTCTTTTTTCTGCCTAAATTACTTTTTTTACTTTCTTCATTTAGATTTTTTTATTCCCCCTGTCAATGTCAAGAATGATTTTTATGTTACTGGATTTGCTCTGCTAATATTTTGTTGAGGATTTTTATGTCTATGTTCATGGGGGTTTTGGTCTACAATTTTGTTTTTGAAATATCTTTGATTTTGGTATATGGTTAATACTAGTCTCTCAAAATGAGTTAGGAAATGATCCTATTTTCTGAGTTTGTGAAGGAGTATTATTACTTCTTTAAATATTTGACAGAATTCAAAGTGAAGTTATCTGGGCCTGGACATTGATTTGTGGAAAGACTAAATTACTAATTCCACTTCATTACTTATTATATCAGTCCACTCAGATTTTCTATTTCTTGTATCAGCTGGTAATATGGGCCTTTCTAAAAATTTGTCCATTTCATCTAAGTTGTATAATTTGTTGGCATAAAATTGTTCATAATATTCATAATCCTTTTTCATTTCTTAAAAATTGTAGTGATGTCCCCTTTCTTTCCTGACTTGGTAATTTCTTTATTTCCCCCTTTGTTCACTCTAGCTGAAGTTGTTAATTTCATTGATCTTTTCAAAGAGCCAATTTTGACTGTTAATTTTTTTATTTTCTAGCATTAAGCTCTGTGTTAATCAGTTTCCTTTCTTCTGCTTCCTTTGGGTTTAGTTTGCTCTTCTTTGTCTAGTATATTAAAGTGGGATCTTAAGGTTACTGATTTGAAAATTTCTTTTCCAATAGAGGCATTTGAAATTATAAATTTTCTCCTAAGCACTGTTTTAGCTGCATTCCATAAATTGACATTTTCATTTTCATTTGATTCAAAGTGTTTTCTAATTTCACTTGACTTCTTTAACCATGGTTATTTAGAAGTATATTAATTTTCAAATAGTTGAGTATTTCTCAGATTTCCCATTGATTTCTAAATTTAATTCCATGTAACTGGAAAACATACTTGGTATAATTTAAATCCTTTTAAATTTGAGACTTGTTTTATGGGCTAGCATTGATCTACTCTGAAGAATTTTCCATATATCTGCAGTGATTGGGTGGAGTGCTGTATATATTGTAGTGAAGTTGGTTAATGGCGTTGTTCAAGTCTTTTATATCCTGGCTGATTTTCTGTATAGTTGTTCTATCGATTATTGAAATCTCTAATTATTATTGTTGAATTGTTCATTTTTGTGTTCAATTGTATTGTTGCTTCAGGTATTTTGGGGCTCTGATGTCAGGTGCATATACATTTATAATTTTATGTCTTCCTGACATATTGACCTTTTATCATTATTAAATGTACCTCATCTCTAGTAATATTGTTTTAAAGTCTACTTTGTCTAATATTAATATAGCCACTCCAGCTTTCTTATTGTTACTGTTTGCATGGTTCATCTTTTATCATTCTTTTACTTCCAACTGATTTGTGAACTTTTTTTTTTTTTGGAAACAGAATCTCCCTGTCGCCCCAGCTAGAGTGTGCAGTGGCATCATCATAGCTCATTGCAACCTCAAATTCCTGGGTTCAAACGATCCTTCTGCCTCAGCCCTCCGAATAGCTGGGACTACAATCCCGCACCACCACGCCTGGCTAATTTTTTTTTTTTTGGTAGAGACGGGGTTTCGCTCTTACTCAGGCCCTGAGCTCAAGTGATCCTCCCGCCTCAGCCTCCTAGCACTCCCCAGAATTTTGATAGGGATTATACTGAATTTAGGCCAGGCAGGGTGGCTCATGACTGTAATTCCAGCACTTTGGGAGGCCAAGGTGGGAGGATCACTTGCAGCCAGGAGTTCAAGACCAGCCTGGGCAACATAGTGAGATCCTGTCTCTAAAAAAAAATTTTTAGAAATTAGCTAGGCATGGTGATGTGCACCTGTAGTCCCAGGTACTTGGGAGGTTGAGGCAGGAGGATCGCTTGAGCTATCATCATTCCACTGCACTCCAGCCTGGGTGACAGAGACCCTGTCTCTAAAAACAAAACAAACAAAAAAAAAGCGAAACACAGAACACTGTCTGCTTGAAGATGCCCAGATTCTCTCTGAAAAGACAGATGACAAAGGAATAATTGGGTGGGAAGAACTTTCACTTTTTATAATTCTGAATCATGTGAATGTCTTTATCTGTTAAAAATTAACATTGGGCATAAAAAAATTGTCAGCTTAGAAATTTTAGAAAATGAAGCTAAAATTTAAAGAAAACTTTATCTGTAACTCTACGACCCAAAGATATTTTTTTCATTTAGCAATAGCTCAAGGGCAGTCCTCTTCCCCAGTAGTTTGCTGTATCTTATGGTAGGGGGTATCACACAACTCACCTAGCAGTTTACAGGGGCCTGACGACCAGGCCTCAGTGTGTAGACCTAGAAAAGTCCTATGGATTAGACCCTGGGGAACCACCACATTTAAGGGACAGAAGAAGAAAAGCAGTCACAGAGATAGGTTAAGAAAGAGAGGCCAACAAGATCCTAGCTAAGCTCAGGAAAGGAGAAAACTGTGGTCATCTGTGCCTCATCTCCAGCAGGCACATTATGGACTTGTCTCTCCCAAGAGAACGGAAGATCCTTGAGAGCAGGGACTTTTGTCACTGTTATATCTGCTGTGCTTCCAACAGTGCCTGGGTCAGAGGAGCTGGTCAATAATTACTTGAGTGAATGAAAGGATAAGGTCTAGGATCTAAGTGGTCACTAAACTTGGCAATTAGAAGGCACTGATGACATAAACCAGGACCACTTTGAGGACACCCTCCTTCCTTTTCCCCTCTCACCCATGATCTGTCCAATACCTAAGGAGACTACCATTGGGAGTCTGTCTCCTGGAAAACAGAAGAATGTTCAGGTACTTAAACGTGAGTTCACCTTTGAACTATAGGACACAAGGCCTGTTTTTATGTGTATACCTCATTCACCCATTTTGATGGAAACACTTCATAGGTAGACATTGTCTTTGTGATGGGTACCTCTTCAAGACTTTATGTAGTAACTATACAGCCTGTAAAAGCTATGTATTGACAGAACACTTCAGCATGAAAGTAATTTTTCAAATTAGTCTCATGAGAGTTATGCCAAATGAAGAAATCACCCCATCCATTTATCTGCTTTATGTGTTTCCACATTTGCTTAAAAATTAGCATTCTTGATCTTTTACAGCTCCCAACCCACCAATTAGTGTTGGCGGATTTCTAACTACACATAGCAGTCAAAAGATCAGATTGTAAAAATACCACATCTTATGATTAAGAGCTCCAAACAGAGCCTCGCAGCTTCTGAGGCAGAACCCCACGTGGCCACGTCAGCTGCTTCAACTAAAGCCCTCCCTGGGGCCGGCTCAGCCAGGGTCACTCAGGTTCCTTCTCCACTGATCAGGCCGAGCAGGACTTGTTAAACATGCGCGTCAGAGCTCCCAGCACACAGTAGGAGCTCACTATGTATGAATTGATTATAAACCTGAAATTTTCCTTCAGATTATAAATGTAGCTAATATCCATCTCTCTTTTCCAGCTTTCTTCGTATCTTTAGGTTTTCTCTCTTCACCAAGGCAGTTAAGGCACTACATCCTTTATGAAGTTTTCCTTACTTCTCACTAGAAAACAACTCCCTTTAGACCTGTCGTCCCTAAATGCAATTGGCTTTGTACCTTCTGCTTACTCAACACTCCACAAAGTACATTTGCTACATGGTATTTATTCAATGACTTTATTTAGTCACCACTTAAATCACTGCTAAGCTCTTTTTCATGTCTATCTGAATCACAGTTCCAATTCTTAGATTGTGAAGTCAACAGGCAAGGGCTGGCCTGTGAGCTATGATTTATAATGACTAACATGGTGTCACAATCAAAGAACTCTGAGTAAATGCTTGTGTAGAAAGAGGAGGATGAGGATGGAGATGAGGGTCCTGAGGAAGGGCCCAGACTGGCTGTCCAACCCACAGAACCTGAGGCCTGAATAAGGCCTGGGACCTGCTTTCCCCTCTGCCCAGAGGGTCCATCTAAGGGCAATTCTAAGGCACGGTGGTGAAGGACATGATTGGTCCCCCAAGTGTGGTCCTCTGGTCTCACAGCAGCCCCTTGCCTGGAAACAGTGCAACAAGTATTCCATTTAGAAGATCTTCCCAAACACATGCAAGCGGCATTCTCTAACGAAAATGCAGACAAGGTCTTTCTTGGAAGAGAGTTCCCCAGAAGACACTCTCTGCCCCAAGACCAACCAGGTCCCTTTTAAGGTCCCTGAGAACAACAGCCTGGGAGCAACCAAGACTTTCAAAAGCTGACAAGGCACAAAGTGGATGAATGGAAAGATAACACTACATGAAGAAAAGACTTTGGCTTATAAAACCTCCAACCTGAGGCAGGGACATCAGTGTCCACTAACATGCAGAAACAGATACGATTGTAGCATAGATGATTATCAGAAATGCTTCAGCATTTCTCACATTGCCCACATCCCAAGCCCTGCTCTACCCTCCCGCGTCCCCCCCCAACAACACATACATACATAAACACACACACACACACACACACACACACACACACACACACACACACACACAGAGTATCTTCAGAATAAGTCAGAGGCTGGCATCCAGAGCCTGACGTCAGGATAGAACTCTTGGCACTGTGCACTAAAACACTGTGATTAGTCCGGTCTAGACAGCAAATGTAACGCTGGCCTAAGCTTGAACTGAAGAGTCCGTCTTGTGAAGTTAGGCTGCACCCAAGACAGCCAGGTCTGGAAAGTCTTTCACTTCTCCTACTTCACTGAAAGGCTGCCCACCTTGGTTGAATGTCAGCTTATACCGTAACCGGATAGGTTCCTGGGACATAAGAGATACGTCAAATTAGCAAGGAGTACCCAGAGGCCAGCCCAGAGTAAAAGGTTTCACCCACCCAGGAGTCACCAAGAAACAGTAGATACGTATTAATTCAAGTCAAGTAAGGGCTTCAAACAGTTGTATGACATGCACCACCCTGGCCTAGCCTCTTAGGGATTACACACACAAGGAGCCAGGCACACATCCTGGGAGCCCTTCTATACTTCTGCAGCCCTGAGATGGGCTGCAATTCAGAGATCAGCTAAGGAAGACAGGCGTTACCCTTTCAAGGGACTCCATGGGATTAGGGAAAGTTCATGCATCCCTCCCTTGATTCCCAGCTATGATAAATTCATCACAGATTTTCTTTCAACAATCCCAAAGGAAAACAGACTCTAGCAAGGGATATTCCACACAGCCCCATCCAGCCAAACCAGAGAATTTAGAGCAAGGCCTCAATATGGCTCTCTCCACCCACAAAGCTACCTCCCTATAGTTCAGGGGTCCCCATTTCCCTGCTACCAAAGATACCAGAACATACTTTATGTGGATTGTCAAGTAGCAGCATCTGAGATATCACAGCTGGAGGCATCAAAGGACTGAATGCAGGAAGCTTGGAGCTTGATGCCGGCTGCAGCTTCACTCTCATTGACTATTGGGGGGAAAAACCCAACAGATAACTATTCCTAACAAACTACATGTTCCATGAGGGAGATCAGGTGAACGGGAGCTTGACCTCCACACCACTCCTCTAAGGAGAAATGGGCTTCTCAGGAGGCATGATATCCCAAGGCACCCATGGAAGAAGCCCAAGCAGATAGCTCCCACTAATTGATGAAAGGATCCAAAAGGTCTTTCCTTCCACATACAGAATATATCTGAAGTTGTGTGGTCAACAGCTGGCACCTGAGAGGCAGCATAAACAGCCAGGGCACATCTTGGCTCAAATTCTAACTCCTTAATAGCTCTGTAACCTTGGGTAAAATACTTAACTTCTGAGCTTGGGGTTGATAATTTATAAAAATTTATAAAATGGCTGTTAATCAGTGGGGCCTTACTTCCCTTGGAAAGGGGCAGATATATCATCCCAAATTGTCCAGCTACCTTACATCCCTGGACACACATTATTATTGGTCTAAGGTATGAAAGTAACATCAGCAAGGCCAATCATAGTCCTTTCTTGGGTAATTAATATGCACGCCTCATGTCAGGTGAGTTTCTTTCTGAGATAAAAAGGGTTAAGAACCATGCAACCCTGGAGTTGCTGGGAGCCATGTTCCTGCTTTGTGGAGAGACTATCAGAGAACAGTTCCAAAGAGAAAAGCAAAGTCAAGAGATGAAAAGAAACGGATGCATAAGGAATCATTTAAGAACTTGGATCTGCTCATATCTGAAGTCAGATATTCAGGAGCGCCCAGTGCGGTAAGCCACTTTATTTTCAACTAGCTTGAATGAAGATTCTTCCCCTTACACCTAACAGATGATGTCCCAGCAAAGGACCCAGTGCTTAAAAACGATAGCTAATACTGAAAAGTTCAAAGGAGCCGGCCAGCAGATAACTCACCTTTGGCACAGCCACTTGAAACATGATGTCCCAGACAGGCTGGGTAGCAGTGCTCATCATGGTCAAGAGTAACACCTGCACCTCGGGGTGGCCAGGGGCCCCAGTCTGGGAGAAGTGGAGCAGAATTCTGAATCCATTGCGGTCATACACAATCAGAGGTGGCAGGCTGCCTGGGAGAGAGAGCCCAACCAGAAGGGTTAGCACCCGCTGTAAACTACCCCAACAGCCAGTCTGGAAAGGTGTGCACGTTATCACCAAATGCTGCTGTCTTCCATTCAGAACGTCCCTTAGACTTAACCCTTTCATGCTACCACAATCCAAGTCCTCGTTACTCTAGCTGGACTCCTGTGACCCTCCAGACTGACCTCCCTCCACCATCCAACCATCCTAAGCACATTACCAGTTTTAAAGAATATTTATTTGGCGGGAGATTTAAGTATGAGCAACATCCTGCATGAACACTATAGAAAATAAACAATTATAGAGAATGAAATATAAAAATCACCTAATTCTACCCAGAAGTAAACAGTGCTAACACTGGAATTATTTCCTTCTGGTCTCTTTCGTATGACAACATCCCCAACACACACCTTTATGTTAACATTTAATTGTACAAAACTGCAAAGATATCAGATCTCCTCTTAAATGTTTAATAAAATTCCAATGGAAATCCTAAAGAGATTGTTTTAATTTAGATAAGAAGTGATTCTAATGTTAATTTGAAGGAAAAAAAAATGAGACTAACCAAGAAACAAAAGAGGAGCAGGACATTTGCATTAGCAAATACTCAGATAAAACTGCAACTCAAGTAAAGTGGTGTAAAACAGAAAGTAGAACAGACTCAAATATGAGATTATAACATGATAATACAAATTTCAAAATCAGTGGCTGATTCAATGAATGGCACTCAGATCACTGGCTCACCATCTGGAAAAAAATTTTAATGAAGACCCTTATCTCATGCCAATCATCACTTAACAAAATGTACATTATAGGCTGGGCCACGGTGGCCCATTCCTATAATCCCAGCACTCTGGGAGGCCAAGGTGGGAGGATCACTTGAGGCCAGGAGTCCAAGACCAGCCTGGGCAACATAGCAAGACCCATCCCTACAAAAAAATTTTAAAAATTAGGCAGGTGTAGTGGCACACTTGTGGTCCCAGCTATGCAGGAGGCTGAGGACTGCCCTGGGCTACAGAGTGAGACCCTATCTCTCTCTCTCTTAAAAAAAAGTACATTATAAAAATATAGTTTAATAATGAAACTGCCAAAGATTTAAAAGTAACTTCTTTGGAAGGGAAATTGGTAATGCAGATCAAAATTTTAAATGTCTAAATCCAGCATTTCATTACTTTTAAGGAGATTTCCTAATAATCAGGAAGGTATCGAAGATGTCCTAAGATGTCCTAAGATGTTCTTTGTAGCACTATTTTAATAGCAAACCGGTATAAACTATCCTTCAGAAAGGGACTGAATAAATGAATTATGGTACATCTATTTAATGGTATAGATTCATTAGAAATCAAGTTTTTGAAGAGCAAGGGCATGAAAAAATGGTACAGGCTTTTTATGTAAATAAAACAGGACATAAAGCAGCCCATACATACTGTGGTGTCCATTTATTAAAAATTTTATGTACATGTATGTACATGGATAAGAAGAAAATACATTAAGACATTAAGAGAACTCCCACCTCTGGCTGATAATGGTGCAGATAACAGTTTTTTTTTTTTTTTTTTTTGAGACAGAGTCTCACTGTGTTGCCCGGGCTAGAGTGCCGTGGCATCCTAGCTCACAGCAACCTCAAACTCTTGGGCTCAAGCAATCCTTCTGTCTCAGCCTCCCAAGTAGCTGGGACTACAGGCATGCGCCACCATGCCCGGCTAATTTTTTCTATATATTTTTTATTTATTTTTTTATTTTTTTATATATTTTTTAGTTGTACGATTAATTTCTTTCTATTTTTAGTAGAGACCGGGGTCTCACTCTTGCTCAGGCTGGTTTCGAACTCCTGAGCTCAAACAATCCGCCCACCTCAGCCTCCCAGAGTACTAGGAGTTTTTTGTTTTTTTTTTTGGAGACAGGGTCCCGATTTGTCACCCAGGCTAGAGTGCAGTGGCATCAACAAAGCTCACTGCAACCTCAAACTCCTAGGCTCAAGTGATCCTCCCGAGTAGCTGGGAACACAGGCATGTGCCACCATGCCTGGCTAACTTTTCCATTTTGTAGAGATAGCGGTCTTGCCCTTGCTCAGGCTGGTCTCAAGCAATCCTCCCACCTCAGCCTCTAAAAGTGCTAGGATTACGGGCATGAGACACCACATCCAGCCTTAATGTTATTTTAAAGTTTGTTTTGTAATAATTTCAGACTTGTCTGCCTGGCTTCCAGGGCCCTCTGCAATCTGACCTCGCCACACACCAAGCCACAGGAGGGCTCTGGCCTTAGAACCAAAGGCCTGATACATTTGCTGCTCTGCACACTAGTACAGGGACTGGACCACAGGCACCTTAACTAGCTGCACCTTCAGTTATTTTCCTTTGTACAGAGGTAATGTCCACTTTTCTGCTTTAATGAGGAGCGCTACAAAAGGAGGATCACTAGCCAGATTATTCCTTTCCTTCGAATTCTACCTGTTCCCAGTCATTCCAGGCCACATTACACATTCCCTTCTTGGATTCCAAATGAACATCATGTCCCTCAGTAATAAGCCTCTTCATTACATTCTGTCTGCCAATATCCTTTACAGTGTCAACACTGGGACGACTAAGACAAGTATTAGCTAAATGACCAAGAAGCAACTCTTACTCTCTGCCCCTTACAAAATCTCTCCCATTCATTTTTGAAATTTAAGGGCCACCTCTACTGATCTGGAGTGGAAAAAGCTGGGAGTCTAACAGACTTCCAGTAAACAAAAGGGGGGTAAAACTGTACTTACTGGGCTTAACAGACTCCAAAGGGACAAACACTTGAGCCAGAGGTGTATTCTGTGAAGATGGGGAAGAAGCCAATGGGCCAGCCTCCCAGGACCAACCTGGGGAGGACTTAGTACCTGGTGGCACTTCTCTGGGGATACTTTTCTGTGAGACATAATTCCTGCAAAGAAATAAAAAATATCAAAGACTACCGAAAATTGTAGAGACTTTCAGGAATCTGTGATTAGGTTTTCTGAAGAAGGTAAGAAAGGAAAAAATATATAACTTCAGACAAGTGAGCTAACCTATGCCTCAGTTTCCCCATCTGTTAAACAGGAATAACAGAAGTATTTATCTCAAAGAGCTGTCACAGAAATTAAATGAAACAACGTATGGAAAGCATTTAGAGTGCCAGCACAGAGTAAGAACCCAATAAACTAAAGCTACTATTATTATGGGTATTCATGTTGTAGTTGTCAGGCAGTCCCTGACAAGTAGCTCGGTCAGGTTAAGTTCCAAATGTGATCACCAGAGTGACATGAGCTAGGCAGATGATATGCAAATTACACTGACCACTTTACACATCATGATTTCATCCATTTGGAACACAAACTGAAAACATTTTGGAAAACTAAAGTCCAGAGAGGAGAGGTAACCTACCCTGTTGAGTGGTTGAAAAAATAAAACTATAAGAAACAACTTCTGGGTGGCAAAAGGAAAGAACTCTCTGCACATCTCCATTTCTGCCAGAGCCCTGTTCTATCAGAAACACAGGCACTCTTTAGACTGTTTGGGGGAAGGCAAACTACCGCTCTTCCAGAGGCAAATGGACAGCATCTATGAAAATGTTTTTACATTTCATACTTTAGAGAACCTCTACTTTTAGGAATCTATACTATAAAAGCATTCCCCCAAGTGCCTCCAAGCTGGAGATTATGGAAATGTCTACAAGAGGGAAATGCTTAAATATATTCACATAATGAATTATAATGTAGCTATTAAAAAGAATGAGGCATATTCACATAAACCGATATGGAAATGTGTCAAAGATATAACATAATACAAAAAGGTCATGCTGGAGTAGAGTTTGTAAATTATAATCCCACTTGCGTAAAAATTAGCCGCAATAGAAAAAAGCAAAGAGGGTGGGTGCAGTGGCTCATGCCTGTAATCCCAACACTTTGGAAGGCCAGGGCAGGAGGATTGCTTGAGGCCTAGAGTCTGGGAAACATATCGAAACCCTGTCTCTACAAAAAATTTAAAAATTAGCTGGGTGTGGTGGCATGCGCCCGTCGTCCCACCTATGGGGGAGGCTGAAGTGGGAGGATCACTTGAGCCCAGGAGTTGGAGGTTGCAGTGAGCTAGGAGCACTCCAGCCTGGGTGAGTGAGATCCTGTCTCAAAAAAAAGCAAAGAAGGAGTATTCGACATTGTTCTTAGGGAATGGTATTTAGCACTTTCTGTTATATATTTCTCTAATGATCAAATTTTGCTTAACTTCAAATTACATGGCAAATTGGGAAGAAATAAATAGCAAAAACATCACCATCATCTACTATTGCTAGTCCTTAAATAAACCCCTTTTCAGATGTCCTGGCCAAATTATGTATTGTCCTGTGACTTAGGAAGGGGATTAAAAGGAGAAAAGTGGGAGCAGCAGATTAAACTTCCAATAGAAAGAAGACACCCCTCTAGGGTGAGAGGTCCCTGGCTCTTAGAGCACCATTCCCTGGCCCTTGTGTGATGAGAGGGAACTGTACGTGGCAGCCAGACCCTCCCACTTCCCTTGCCCATGAGACTCACGGAGGGCTGGGGGATGGCTGTGAAGAGAGGAGATCCAGCAAGTTCCGGTCTGCAGAAGGGCTCTGAATGCCACTACCTGGCAATGTGCTGGCAGAGGGATTCCTCTTTTCCTTACAGCAATTCTGACCAGCAACCTGTAAACCAGGAATGGCTAAAATAAGGCCAGGGTATGATGACCATTAGCCATGGTAAAACTGTGGCACAGCTCTCCTGAGCCCACCAAAGCTGGTGCAGCCAAAGCTTATTATATTTCTTGGGGTGGGAAGAGAAGGAAAGGGCAAGAGAACACATGTCTCCTGAGCAGACTTTCAGGAAGCAGGAGCCTGGTGCAACTGAAGAGGGAAGGGGTGTAAGGAGAGGAAAAAGATGCCTCCCCTTGGGGGTTCCAGAAAGACAGTAAGAGTGAAAAAGAGGCTTTTGACCTCCAAGTCCATGAATCTCATGCCAGGAGAGCGCAACAGCACCTCTTTCCCCGCCAGGTAGCACTGCCTCATGAAGGCAGGTTTGAGAGACCCTCCCTTCCTCTCTGGGCCCTGGCAAGAGCTTCCTTACCTTATTCGTAACAGGAGCATCAGTGATTCCTGTAAGGAAGGAACAGAGTGAGATGCACAGCAGTAACCCCACCTGCTTCAAGGTGGAGATCGACACCATGTTCACCCTTTCCAGGACATTTAGGAACGACTTACCCAAGGTCACTCAACTCGTCCTTGGCAAATCTATGAGAAATGTGCAAAGGGGACTTCTCTAAACTGCCCAGCACACCCCATTCCCTCAAAAGCAGTACATGCTCCCTGGGTGGAATCACCTTTCTCTCTCCCTACTCAGAACCCTTCTGAGTCTGCTCCCCCTAAATGGCCTCCTCACCCAAGGCTGCCAGGTCCTGATGGAGCAAAGATGG